GTCTATACATCCATTCACTTCATGCCATTCCAGAGAATCCCAAATCATTGTATCTTCTTTCAACTTTACCTATGAAGTTCTGTGGCTTTTTCCTTGGGATACTGCAACCACTTTTTCCACAGTCTGTAGTGCATGGAAAAACAAGTGATGGCAAAACAGGACTAGTCCTGGTCCTCCTTGTGGTCAATTCATGTTTCTGTCAAATCTAATCTACTTTAACAACCTTGTCACCTCACATTTGAATTACTCTAAGTAATTCAAATGTGAGGTTACAAGATTGTTAAACTCTACAGACCATTTGGAAGCTGCTGGTGGCTCAGCATGCACTAGCCTGCATAGTTATAGGCGTGCCTAGGTTTTGTTCATGTAGCACCACTACTACAAGAGCTACAATGGCTGCCAGTTAGCTTCCAAATTCAATTCAAAGTGTTAGTGGTCACATTTAAACCCTGCATGGCTTAGGGCCTGGGTGCCTCAGGGACTACCTATTATGGTCAGCAACTGCCCATCTAATAAGATCAGAGAGAGAAGTCTTGTTTCACACATTATCTTCTTGATAATTGGACCCCTCTTCTGGAACAACCTTCCTTTAGATATCCAGACTACCCCTATGAACTCTATGACCTCAACCTGATTGTTCTAGAGGACATTTGGGTAAGAGATGAAAGATCATACTTGCCCCCATTATGTACGTATATTGTTTGATGTTATGGAGTCAGTTACAGGTATATATAACCATCCAGTCACTCCACAGTGAGATGGGCAGTGACAAATTTGAAATATAAATAAAAAAAATAGTTGTTTCTTTATTTTTCTAATACTTCCTATTATATAGCATCTTTTTTTCTGTTGATTAGTGGTCAAACAGGGCTAAATTCTCTAACTGGAAGCAAGTTAGAGATGGCCAGTTTGAGATCCTTTCAGAAGGTGAAATTGCCAGAAATTAACCCTGGAACTTTCAATAGGCAAAACATGCATTCTGTCACTGAGACAGAACAAATGCTGGTCATTACACTATCATCTTTGCACTCCATCTTATACTAAAACATGTAAGAATAAAACACACGCAAATCTGTCCAGTTTGTATTCAAGAACAGAAAGAAAAGTCTTCATTTTTCAGTTTTTATTACAGAAATCCAGAGCAATTAAGCTATACAGAGAACCTCCTCTTCTCCTGCACACAAGAGAGCTACAACCAGCTAATGAGAAAAACAAAATCTCACAAACTTTTCAGACCTTCAGTTCAGCAGTCAAGAGAGCCAAATGGCTAGGAGCCATTGGCACTGTGAAGCATGTTCACAATTGATGGTGTCTTACACAGACAGTTCCAAGAAACTACGGCTGTGTTCAGAGACAAAGGATCCAACAAAATGACTGCTTCATGTCTATAATCTTGGGCTTGGGACTCTTACAAAACACACCAAAACTTCCAAATCCCACCCCTTTAATATTTTCCTTTTTGGGTTTTGGAGCCAGTTCAGATGTCTGCTTGCATAAATAAAGCGACGTTATTGTTTAGAGAGATAAGACAGTATGAACTGAAAGAAGCAAGCTATGTAAACATAAGCACAGCTGTTTGGGGTCCGAATCTGAATCCACCCAACTCAGTATCTAGTGATCAGGTTTAACTGCAGAAGGAAATAATAGCTCACTTCATTTGGAGATACCAAGTATATCCTAATTGGTAGTATATTTTTATGTGAAAAGAGTGGGTGTGCCTCCTTTTACAACCATTCTGCCTCTGGTTCCAGATGCTGGTCACAGGCCCTTAGCAAAAAGCGAAGTAGATATTTATGCCAGGCATTCCATTGCCAATTGATCATTGGTGGTCTAGATTTGACCTGAACCAGATTTGGAACTAATGAATCAGAGAGCCAATACTGACACCAAATCCAAACACTCCAAAATTCCTCTTACCTCAATCCATTCATACAGCAATCCAGGCCAAAGATACCACAATGACATAACTGCATCACATGAAAGTACTGGTTGGAGGTGAACCCACTCTTCAAATCCTCTAAGAACAAATGTACGAAAACCTATTTAATCTATTAACAATTTGCTGATATAGGTAATCATTTTTTAAAAGTTAAACAGAATATTTTTTTAAAAAAATAAAATATCCACAGGATAATTATGCACAAAAAGAAACCTAAAAAAAAAAAGTTGTGGAATTGGGGCAAATTTAACTTTTTTTTAGAATTCTAGGGTTTAATATGCATAATTGGTGACTCCTATCTTATACTGCATGTACTCAGTAATCCTTCCAATTATCTTTCAATATTTGAAGTAATAAATAACTTTGCAGCTGTTTTAGCTATTTAGCTATTAATTATTACTATTTTGTTGTTTCTATTTGATATTGTATGCGGATTGGGTTTAAGAATTGCAAAATACATTCATTCATATACTTACCTGCAAGAAAGACAACTCTGAATTTAAGATGATACCCTTTTTATCAGAGAAAGAGTAGATGGAGAAAAAAAATCACAAAAACTACCCCCCCAAAATGTTTCCATGTGACATATATATGTGTATGTATGACTATATACAAAAAAAAAAGGGGGGGGGGAGGACCACAAATAAGTATATTAACTGAATAACCATTAGTTGAAATTAATGCCCTGTAAAAATAAGATACCCTAAAAATAAAATGTATTCTTTCCCTTCTGTATATACCAACGATTTTCTCTCACACAAATATGCAAAGACACATATACCTATCCACCTACCTTCTCTCCCTTCCAGCTGAAAGAACGAAAAAGAAACTCCAGGACAGAGATGGGTGAGGAAAAGGAGTAGAAAAGGAAAGATGAGAAAACAAAACTGAGTAGAGATAGGAGAAGGAAAAGAGGCAACTGGACAGATAAGGAAAGTAAAGAGAGAGAAAAGGCCTGTTTGGTAAAAGGCCTTACCAAAAGTTCATAACCCTAAAGTTTACCAAAAAAACAAAAACAAAAACCCAAACCCACAAACAACTCCTCTCAAGTAGGCTAAGATGTCTGTAACCATTTTTACTTCCATCCATATGTTTGTTTCCAATAATCTATTCTTCTAAGCACCCCTTGCCAATTCATAATTTTTGAGTAAAGAAATATGGTAGCTAGAGGCACCACTTTATTACTTCAAATCATCTTAATGAAGTAGAAATTATCCTTTATAAAGGTAGAACAATGGTTTACATGTGGCACTATCATCTAAGGCTGTCTTTCACAGCAAAATTGGGAAACTGACTCAGCAGTTCCTCTGGAAGCAAAAAATAGCATAGCATTCAGGAAACCATATCATCCTAATGAGAAGCTTAAAAAAGAGAAGAGATATTAGTTAATTGCAAGACTATAATGGTTCTTAGAGAAGTATTTCAAACCATAGCTCAACATATACCCAGTCAGCATAAGGGCACAGAATATAGGGGTTTTAACCAGGGGACTATCTCACTTCAGAATGTAAATGAGGGATTGGTTAAATGATTTTGGTTCAATGGTGTTAACCACAGTTAATCAAACTTTGTTGTATCAAATTACACACCTCCATGTTCCACATATAGAAAGATTCTGACTTGGGAGATACTTCAAACAGGCAGCCCCTTTGTGCTTACCACAGATTTCTTGAGGATCTTACATGACCGATGTGGATATCAGAAACTGGTTCAAATGTGATACATATATAATGTAAAGGGAATACAGTTGGGTTGAAAGAACACTCAGTTTTGACTAGAACACCTAGATTCAAATATCCATTCAGCTGAGGTAGCCTTAATCAAAACATTATTTCTCTCTGATATCTGAAAACAGGAAGAAACAGTGACTTATCCTACAAAGCTGTGTCTCTGAATAAAACTGATTGAAGTTGAACATGTTTCACATGTGTTCACTAAAGGAGTTTTATTTATTTATTTAGATTTGTTATGGCCACCCACTCCAATAGACTGCCAGTGGCATAAAACGAAACTGACAGCCTAGACTAAGAACAGCGGTAACAATAATAAAACGTGACAGGGCCCCCACAAACACATTAACCCCGGGCCTGGGAACAGAAGGATTTAAAAGGGCCTTCCAGAACCCCAGGAGAGTAAGCATCATATGCATCTCTGGGAGCCGTTCCAGAGGACAGGAGCCGCAACACAGAAAGCACGCTTCCTCAATTCTACCAGATGACGTTTAATTGGGGGGACTGGGTGGTCAGAAACAACTGAAGATAGGCTGACCCTCAGATAACCAGGCCCTAAGGCATGATCAATATTAATAATAATCAGTAAAATCAGTAATAATGATGCAAAATTAATAGTAACAGTTAATCTTTTGGCATGAGTAAATATAGGTGAAGGAAACTTTTTTTTGCAAAAGTAGAGAGAACTGAAATGTTTATGTTTTAAAATTGTGACCCATTTCAAGGACTGAGCCAGACTCTCATGAATCTGGCTTGATCTACAGTGAATCATAATTCTCCGAATAGACTGGGTGGGTAGCAATCAACAATACCAACAAAAATCTGGCCTTCATTTCTATACATAATTAAATTCCACAAAATAACTTGTAGAATTATAAAGCAGCTGTGAAATAAAGACCATCAACCCCTCGTTGAGAGGATTCCCTGGGTGCATTAAACTTAACCTAGATAATCTTCCAAGGAGAGAATTATACTAGAGGTGCCTTCTATGTCCAAGGAATGTAATTTATCTACCTCAAATAGCCAAAAGCAGGTCCCCTAATGAAATCTTTTCATGTCAAGTGTGCTGTGTGATTATTTGTATTCTCAGTAATCTGGGAAATTCTGAGAAATGTTACCAATATAGGAATCATAAAGACATATGATTAGCATTTTCATTCTGAGATAGTGAATTCTCAAACTCCTTGACACACACGTGGAACGCAATGTTCCAACCCAATTTTTAGTAACAAGGCCCATAACTGTTACTTAGAGCTTCATTTCTGTACATGACAAATAATAAATAAAAGGAGTAAGTTTGGTAAAGGATATCCAAGCATCCAACAAAGTACCTGTGTGAGTCCTCTGGTGCGCTTTTAAGTGTGAGCTCTTTGTATATACTTTACGGCACCCATTAAACTGACAACGATGAACCCTCTTCTTGTTTTCTGGGGATGTGTCAGCCCCTGCCCCTCCTTGCTCACTGTCACTGAGCGCACACTTTGTTGTGTTAGCTGGTGCTACTACACCAACCTTTACTGAGCTGAGGGTAGATTTCTTTGTCACTAATTTCAGTGTAACTGTGCCATCAACTGCAGAGACAGTTTGTGAGGTTTTTCCAAGATGGCGACTGAGTTCAGGAGAGGAAGGAGGTGTTAGTGAGGTCACTGCGTTGAGTTGGGCCTGGTTAACAGCAGCACAGCCCTCTGTAGAGGAGCTGGTAGGTTGCAGGCTGAGACAAGTCTCAGACAATAGTTTATCCCTTGAGAGAATAACGTCCAGGTTGGCATTTTTGTCACAGGTACTCATATCTACAGGTAGTAAGAGAGGGTCCAATGGCTGAATGCTGTCTTCTGGGCCTTGAGCAGAGGAAGCATGAAGAAAACAGTCCAGGTCCTCACCAAAGCTTTCTGAACTCTTCCTGGGTTCTGTCTGAAGGTAGCGTTCCAGCTCAAGGCATGTCTGTAGAAACAGAAAGGGAAAGAAGCCATCACTGGACAGTCAAACCCAGTAGCAACCACTGCCAAAAAGAAAAGAATATCAGAATAAAATAATTGCCACACTGAAAGATAACAGAAAGGCAAATCAAGACAACCATAAGACAAAAGAGGAAGAAACTGTCTGCAGCAAACATTACACAAATGAAATTTTCCACAGAATAAGAATACAATGGCCATTCTGCTCTAATGTCTAGAATCTGGAATTCCAGGTACAAATCTATTGTGCAAAAATACCTGAACTGCAAAAAGGAAGGTAGTTGAAAGCACAGGTTGCTAGTTGCCTAGCAACTATAAGAACAATCATTTGTAAATCAACTCACAAATATTAGATAAGCACTACCTGACTAGTTCTGAAGAAATTCTCAATTCTATTTTGTTAACTACTTTGGGTATTTATACTAGATAGGCAATGTTATAAATGTTTCAAATGAATCAATAAATATAAACTGAAAAACAAATATGTAATAAAATTTCCATACTTTCTTTATAGACTAATTCAGTCTACATCTCAAAACTGAAACATAGCCATGGCACTGATAAATTGTAATTTCCTAGGCCTCTAAGGAATTAATTTTATGTTTGGGTCTACAAATACAAAACCTGATATGTAATTCTATGACTTTGTATCAGCCATTTAAACCCAAGGCAGCCTAAAAGTTTACAATGGGATATAGTTTACTCATTTCCTTTCCTATTCCCAAAGTTGTCCTCCCCAAGCTTATCTTCTACTCACAAGGAGAATGATACAGCAATAACTAAACATCTAAATGAAATTAACTTTCATTTATTTACACAAATGACTCAAATACTTCTGCATCAACATGACATTGCAAACTTAAAGTCCCAGCTGCTAAATCAACATCAACAAGACCCCTCCACAACTAGCTTATATAAAAATATAATGTAATGTAATGTAATATTAATATGTTTCATATCAAGTAGAGGATAAAAAACTACCTTTTGCATAACTGGTCATCTCTGTTGCAGGTAAAAATAAAATGCGAAGAATTCCAAATGTACCAAAGAGCAGTACATTTTGGAATTTCTCAGACATACCATAGATAGTCTACACAACTACATCACTTAGAAATACATGCTGCTTGTATTTCTTTTAGATGGATAAGGAGGAGCAGCAGGAGACAATAAAGTGCACTGAAGTCTGAGCTGCTGGCTACTGAACAGAGAAGGGTTGCAAGTGTTAAGATTAGCAAAGCAGGCAAGTAGGAAATTTAAAGCCTTGTAACTATCCATTTACATGGATCAGTCTTTCACATGTTTAGTCAAAGCCAAATTATATATAATAGGAAATTCAACCTATAAATCATAGGATTTGTCATCACCTAAACAGCCAGTGAATAAATAGTGAGCATAATGTTTTTGTTTTTTCTCCAAGCTTAAGTAGACTTTCATGGAATTTCTTCTTGTTCCAACAGAAATACTGGTCACTCCCTATCATCTTGGTTTAGTCTATACTCCTTAGAAGAGAAACCATGAGGCTCACTCTATAAATACAAAGCCCATGAGCCTTTGGTTAGCAACAGTTAGATGGAAAAAGATTTTCAAACAACACTAAAACAAGCACAGGCCTTGTGAAGTCTCTGGATGGTACAAAGCTGTGTTGGGTCACCTAATGTCCTGTGGAGAAGGCAGGAGGGAGCTGTCCCTGTAAGGCATTACTCCTCCTCTATGTCCACAGTGATCCTGACAGGCTTTGAGCTTTGTCATTAATTTTCCATAAAGAACCATTTCTCTGCAAACCCCCTTTTGAGCAAGACTTGATGCTTGAGAAACATGCAATTATTCTTGGATTCCACCCCCTGCAGTCTTTGCACCTGTGTCAGTTCAAGATACCAGCTGGTCAAGGTCTGCCTTCTGCCTGAGAAAGACACCTCATCAAACTCACCTCCTCTTAGAAGGGAAAGGGAGGGGGAAGGCCCCAAATATACAAGGAAGGAAGGAAGGAAGGAAGGAAGGAAGGAAGGAAGGAAGGAAGGAAGGAAGGAAGGAAGGAAGGAAGGAAGGAAGGAAGGAAGGAAGGAAGGAAGGAAGGAAGGAAGGAAGGAAGGAAGGAAGGAAGGAAGGAAGGAAGGAAGGAAGGAAGGAAGGAAGGAAGGAAGGAAGGAAGGAAGGAAGGAAGGAAGGAAGGAAGGAAGGAAGGAAGGAAGGAAGGAAGGAAGGAAGGAAGGAAGGAAGGAAGGAAGGAAGGAAGGAAGGAAGGATCCAACAGACAGACATTTCCCTCCCTCCCTTCCCTCACCATCTCCAACTAGCGAGATTTCAGTCTAAACAACAGGGATGATAATGTCTAGCTTGAACAAACCACAAATTGCTCCCACTAGCCTCTGAACTACTATCAGGATTCAAAGAATATTAGTTTGTTTAAAAAAATAATAATAAATTAAAACGTACATGTTTAAATATATGAGATTACCAGAACACTAATTAAGGGGAAACAAAATATCCATTGCCTTTTTAATCTCATGATTTCAAAGTCCAAATTTCAATATTTTTCTGGTTATCGACAGAAATTTATTAATAGGTAAACATTCCTGGACATCCAAGCATACAGGATTACATCAGTAGGAAGGTGAATAAATCTACCAAGTTTTTAAAAGTCGCATTAATAATACACAAATATGCAATGTAATATACACAATACCCAAATATGCTATGTAATATAAATGTGATTACTTTTTTTCTGCATGACCCTCTGAATTTTATGCTTCCCCATGCTCTTAGAGAGGAATCCAGACAAAATACTTGTAATGCAGAAAAATTATCAGAGAGACATGCATTGAGATAGCTCAAATTGGCCATCTTTAGGATGACAAAGAGAGATTGTTTTCAAACTGACCATAACCAAAGTTTAAGAACAACTGTACCTTAAAAGACCACAGAAAATAGTGGAGCTTAAAGAAAAATCTTCCTTCTGTAGTGTTTGAAGAGGTAAGGAACATATGACAGCAAGATCTAGTGGAGAATGTGTGTACGTGAGCATTTGCTATGGAGGCAATGAGCAAGCACAGGGAATATACACACAGTGTGGAGCCCAGATAGCCAGAAGATGGGAAAATGGGGGGCAGAAGCTAAAGGAAGAGAATGCAGAAGCCAGGAATTTGCATCCACACGGGGTATCTTCCTGATATCAAATTATGACATCACCACTGAACAGTTTCCTGATGACAAAATCTTTTTATTACAAAGATTTCCCTGATGAAAGCTTTTTTATGATATATTTCCCCAATGTATAGTAAAATAAGATATTTCTTTCCATTTGTAACTTCTGAGCTGAAGATCAGGTTTGGTCAAAGACTGACTCATGGTAAGGTACAAAATAGCTTGATTTTTTAAAGTAAAAATTTCCCAGCATTGAATGGACTAGTATAAATGCCCTTTGTTCTATTTCTGAGCCTTCAAAGCCGCTCTGCTTCTGATCTCTTTCTCTAAGTCTATGGCATGATGCAAGTCAGGTTTATTCCTGCACTATAGCTTTTATTTTAATTCATTGTCTGTATGTCTTGTCTCCTATTAATTATATTAGAAGATTCTGACACACACACACAATTTTGTCTATTTCCATGCAAAAATTGTTCCTTTATATGTGGTCCCATTGCAGCAGGTTTGTTAGCATTTCTGACTTTTTGTTTATGAAACTGTGTGGTGTTACTGCCCCTAGGATTAGAACAACAATAGTGTCAAAGTTGTGACTGACATTTGTCCTAACAAACATAAAATTAAAACAGCTGCAGAAGCATACACAGCATTCACAACCAGGATTCTCTTTTATTCAGAGGCAGACCAAAAGAAGCCACGGAGCAAAGGGGCTCATGGTCCTATCACCACTAACAGAGTGTCTGTACAGGTAGTCCTCACTTAATGACCATAATAGGGAGTAGAAAATTGGTTATTAAGTGGGGCAGTCATTCAGCGAGCCACCACATCTGGACCCAATTTTATGATCATTTTATGGTGGCCATTAAGTGAATCACATATTGTTAAGTGAATCACATGGTTGTTAAGCGAATCCAGCTTCCCCAATGGACTTTTTTTTGCTGGAATTCGCTTAACAACCACATGATTTGCTTAACAACCATCATTAAAAAGTTGCAAATCATGATCACATTTTTGCATGGGGGCGATGGTTTGCCACGGTTGTAAGTGCGAGTACAAGTCATAAAGAAAATACCTCAGACAACACCCCCCTTCAATTCTCATGAGGATAAAAGGGGGAGGAAAAATAGCACATTCAGACTGGCAAGATTCTGTTACTATAACTGTTCTAATAAAAGTAGCTCTAGATCTGCTCAGCGTCTGTTTCTTAGTCTAGTCTACCTGATAGGACTGACAAAGTCTGCTTTGCCAATAGCAGCTACAGGACTGTAAAAGGAAGGGAAGGGCAGCTTCTTGGCTCTACTGAGTTGAAGGGGGTATCTTGCAACTCCTGTAGTACTGATCAGCCTTCAACCAACAATGCTCACAGAACTATCCAATGAGTGGAGATTTCTTGAGAACTGCATATTATCTGCATTGCTAATGCACAATTTTAACAAATGTTTTGTATATATGCCAGAAGGCTGAATTTTACTCAGTACCCACCCAAGCCTGGAGTGGGATAAGCAAACTCCCTCCCAGGTAGAAAGAGGAAATATTATTCCATGGGCTCCACCATATCCAGGATACTATGACTTTAATTTTAGTAACTAGGTGACTTACATTTATCCACTATAAAAGTTTTACTGTTTAGGAAATAGCCAACTTTATTAATTGACTATATAAAAAGGGCATGAAGAAGAGAAAGTCCTCAGTTTCCTCCCAATCCAAAATCAGCTTTGGTGGTTCCTAGCACCAATGTCTCCAGTGCTACCATTTGAAATTGTTTTAAAATCAAAATTTAAGTAGTCTAGCATCCAAACCTAGGGGGTACAGTAGGCATCATCTATTGTACCTGCAAATGTATCTGTT